TGAGTCTGTGAGTTTGAGGCCAGCCTGGCTACATACTTCAAGATTGGCCTGAATTACATATTGAGACCTTGTCTGAAAAGAAATCTTCCACTCAGGACAGAAAGCTTCAGATACTTCATTGAAACATACAAATGAGGAATTTCTAGGTTTACTAAATGGAAATGCCAAGGTACACAGGTGCCAGGTATGGCCAGATCTACAGGTCCTATCATCAGCCATATCTTATCAGTCATACAGTCTGTCCAATCTATCAGTTCAAGGCTGGATTCAAAGGCCTTCTGGTACCGGGAATCCAACTCAGGATCTTGTGCTTGTGAGGCAGGCACCGGCACCACTGAGCTAAATCCCTGGCATTTTTGTTTTTTGAGAGAGGGTCTCACTTTGCTGTTCAGGCTGCCCTGAATCTTCCAGGCGTGTGCCACCACAACTGGCTTCAATAGCCTTTTCCTGAGCGTCCTTTCACTTACTCTGCGGTAACTTAATTCAAGCTCTAGCTTCAGAGACTATTCCATCTGTTCTCAGATTTAAATGTCATGATAGTATCTTAGAGATTCAGGCCTATAGAGTTAAATTATTACTTATCTGAAGTATCAGGGGCACCTGTCTCATTCACTTATCTAGTGAACATTTATTCTACAATGTGCAAGACATGGTTCTGGGTGTTGACAATGTAGTTGTGGACAAAACAGATCAAAACTGTTGCCTTTGTTGAACTTGCATTCTAGTAGGGAGTTAAGAATCTTATTTAAACCAGGCATGGTGGTGCATACCTGTAATCCTAGCACTCAGGAGGCTGAGGCCGGAGGATTGCTGAGTTCCAGGCCAGCCTGAGCTACGTAGTGAGTTCAAGGCACCCTGAATTACATAGACTCTGTTTAAAAAAAATTTTTTTTAAAGGAATTTTTCTAAGTGGCAGATGGGTGTAAAGGTGCACACCTGTAATCCCAGCACTCTGGCAGGAGGGTTACAAGTTTCAACCCAAGGCCAGGGATTTAACTCAGTGGTGCCACACCTGCCTGGCAAACAGGTCCTGAGTTCACTCCCTGTACCAAACAAACAAACAAACAAAATTCTAGCCCAGACTGGATAATTTAGTAATTTAGTGAGACTCTTTCAAAATAAAAAATAAAAATAGAAGCCGGGTGTGGTGGCACATGCCTGTAATCCCAGCACTTGGGAGGCTGAGGCAGGAGGATCGCTGTGAGTTCGAGACCAGCCTGGGCTGCATAGTGAGTTCCAGGTCAGTCTGAACTATGTAGTGAGACCCTGTCTCAAAAATAACTAAATAAGTAAATAATTTAAAAAAATAGAGCTGGGGATGTAGCTCAGTGATGAGTGCCACTTAGCTTGATCTCCAGCACTATACAAAAAAGGAATCCTTCCAACAAGAGACACAATGCTCAACTCAACTTGGTTTAGTGAAAACAGGAATTGAGATGTAATCATCATGAGTAGAACCAGCCATGGGCACCAGCATCTGCCTTTTAGATGTGCTGCTTTGCAGTAGTTCCATTTTCTCAGGCTCACATCTTTTTTCATTTTTTATTTTTGTACCGGGTATCAAACTTGGGTCCTTGCGCTTGCGAAGCAGGCGATGGAACCCCTGAGCTAAATCCCTGGCCCTCAGGCTCGCATCTTGATGGTACACTCTCCAGCACAAGAGGGGACGTGTCACTTTCAAAGTCCTCAGTACATAACTGATGCCGTGTCATGCAGAAAGAGGATTACTGAGCTACAAGAGGGGACGTGTCACTTTCAAAGTCCTCAGTACATAACTGATGCCGTGTCATGCAGAAAGGAAAGAGGATTACTGAGTTTACAGTCTCGGAGTGTCAGGCATCTTGCTGCCATCTGATCATCTCGGGTGGTGAATCTTCTGGGCTGCACCAACATGAGCACTTTCAAGAGGGAAAGGTCATGTGGGGAGGCCGGAAGCCAGAGACATTTAGGCCAGGCTGGCTCTCCTCTCTCTCCGCCTGTCTCTCCCTTCCTCCTTCACTCTTTCTTCATTTTTTTTCTTTTTTCTTTCTTTCTTTTTTGTTTTTTTTGGGGTGTGTGGTACCGGGGATTGAACTCAGGGCCCTTGTGCTTGCAAGGCAGGCAGCAGAACCACTGAGGCAAATCCATGGCCCTCTTTCTCTTTTCATGACAACCCACTGTCTCAGGAACTGGCCTGAGTCCCACGAGCACTACACTAATTCCTTCTGAAGGCAGCCACCAACCTGATTACCTCCACCTCCCTTTAGACCCAACCTTTTTTTGAAGGGAGGGGCGTTCTAGGGATTGAACTCAGGACTTTAGGTTTATGAGGCGGGTGGTGGTTGTTAGGGAATTGATCATGTTAAAGTTATTTTGTGACACTGCCATTTTGGGCTGGATTTCCGGGTTCTTCTACCCCTTAAACCCTTGTCTTAAGTCTCCTTTTCCCAAGACCGGTCAGTATATAGAATTGAAACTCAGAGCTTCTGCAAGGTGCAAATTTTAAAAGGCAGCATGGCTTGTGGTCCGCTCCCCTGAATAAAATCTCCAGTCGGACCTCTGGGTGTGCGAGGCCTAGTTGTTGAGCATCGCTGTTCCCTTTCAAGTGGTACCACTGAGGTAAATCCCTGGCCCAGTCTGAACCTTTTTTGTTTTGTTCTGTTTATTTGTTTGTCTTGTTTTTGAGACAAAGTCTCTCTTTGTAGTCCAGGCTGGCCTTGGACTCCAGGTGATCCTCCTGCCTCAGCCTCCCTAGTGCGCCACCACGGGTGAGCCTTTGAACTTTCTACCACTTCTCCGCATGGACACACTGGGGACCAAGCTCTAGCACATGAACCTCTGGCAGACACATTGAAACCCCAGCAATCGTCAAACCCGTCTCCATGGCCAGGGATTTAACATACTGGTGGGCTCAGGCTAGTTAGGGACCTTCCTTCATCCCCATCTAAACTACCATAGCTGAGTGGTGGAAACCTGGTCCCCCAGGACAAACCGCACCCTTCTTCGGAGGTGCCTTTCTGTTTCAAGTTCTTTTCAGATGCAAGGACAGACTAGGGGTTCAGAGCGAGGACGGAGGATTTTAGGTCAGCTACCTGGGTCCGAATCCCGTCTGCCATCTGTTGGCTGTGTAAACCTGCACAAATTGCTTAAGCACTCAATTCAGTCTTCCCGTGCATGGAACAGGTGGCAGGACCGCCGCAGCGAGGTGTCAACGCCCGTGAAACGCTTCTGGGAACAGTGCTCAACTAGCTCCAAGCAAAAGAAAACGCAAACTCGTCAGTACGGAGGACACGCGCGGGATCACATCAGCGAACCCTTTAGAAGGATCATCTCCACTTCCGCATAGGGCAAATGGTTCCTCAACGCGCCCAAGATCTTTTTAGTTTCCTTACTGAAGCTCTGGAAGGCGCAGTCCTCAGTTCCGAACAGCCCAACTCGCTTACCTCCAGGCTCTCGTCGAAAGGCACAGGCTTCCCAACTGGGCGAATTTAGGTCCTGTGCCTGCCCCGCCCCACTCGCAGTAGTCAAGAAAGTGTCCCGCAAGATGGGTTCAGGGACGAATTCCTGCCACCTTCCTGCGCGTAGGGGACCGGATCCGGCTGCTTCCTGCTCTGGGCAGCCTGGCCCGAGCTGCGGCCGGACTGCTCCACGTCCACCGTTTGAATGTATCTGAATAAAACGTAAACCAACACCCTAACAACGTATTCCTTTAGGACGTGTTACAAACTACAGAGAGAACAAAACCAACCCACGATCCTGCTTGGTTTGTTGGTTACTTTGAAGGAAGCAGCACCACTGAGTTAAATCCCTGGGCCCTCAATCCTAGTGTTTATAAACAGGTTCGATGAATTTTTAGGGAAAATACATGACAAAACGTGAGCACTGTATTAAATACGTGTGAAAGGTTTTTTTTTCCCCCCTGAATTTGATGATTCGTGGTGCGGTTATATAAAATAATGGAGGTTCATGGAGAAATATTTATCGGTAAAGAGACATGATTTCTGAAACTCTCAAAAGTCAAGTATTGTATAAAAATCATGCGTATACACATATATGCAGTGATATAGAAAATGTGGCAAGATATTAATATTTGGCAACTCTAGGTAAACACTTGTAATTTTGCATTTTAAATTACTGTTTTGTTTTGGGACCGGGGATTAAATTTAGGGTCCTTACGCTTGCCTGAGAACCACTAAGCTAAATCCCCGGCCATTAAATTACGTATTTTAATTTGGTTTTTTGAGACAGGGTCTCACTTATGTAGTGAGACTGACCTGGAACTCACTATGTAGCTCAGGCTGGTCTCGAACTCACAGCGATCCTCCTGCCTCAGCTTCCCAAGTGCTGGGATTACAGGCGTGTGTCCCCACGCCCGGCCAAATTACTTATTTTTGAAAAAGTATTTATTTCTGTTTTTTTGAGACAGGGTCTCGCTTTGTAGTTCAGGTTGGTCCTAAACTCACTTAGTAGCCCAGGCTGGCCTCGAACTTACAGCGATTCTCCTGCCTCAGCCTCCCGAGTGTTTGGATTACAGGCGTGCACCATCATACCCAGCACTTATTTTTAAAAGTGGAGAAACAGGCACAGTAGACCTCTTGTTAGCGTGTTTGCGGCTTTTACAGTCTTACAGAACAATTATATAAAAAACTCATAAAAGGAACATAAGTCTGCTTCACTCCTCTCTCCCACAGTAGCCAAAAACCCAAGTCTCTTCTGCGTTCCAGATGGAAAAGATGCAGGTCAACATCTTGTATGTAAAGTTTTGTTTCTTTTTAATGAGTTTGAGAATCATTTCGTGGTCTACGGTTCTCGTTCAAACGCAGGAAGCCCCGCGTTTGGCTCTCGGCGCTGGGGTCCGCCCCTCGGCGCCGCCTGCCCGGATCTCCAGCCCTTACCCGCGGCCTGTCCCCTTGACCCGAAAAGCATTCTGGGTCGTCCGGGCCCTCCCTCATCTCGCGATGCCTGCCTTCCCTTCTTCCAGGCCTGACCCCCCCCCCACCTAACGTGTTTTTCAAATTCGCCAATCTGCGCATAGTTTAGGCTTGAACCAGCCAATCGGAATGCGGAGTCACCGGGAAATTTAAATCGCGCCGGCAGGCTGCACGAGGCACACCGTTTCTGGGTTCAGCCGCGGTGGACTTGTCGATATCCCTCTGTCCGCAGCCGGTGAGTCCCGCTCTGCCGCTCGCTTCGGAGGAGCCAATTCGGGCCGGATCCCGGGTCGAGCGGCAACGCCTGCCTGCCGGCCGGGCTT